TAAATCTTACCAACCCCAAACTTTTGAGTGGTTTGTATGTCAAATACTGATTTCCGAGTTTATGAATAACAAATGAGTAACTCTGCTTTAGTGCAACTTTATAGGAACTATCCTTCTATTTAGACATTATTTAGATCTAATCTATAGGGGTTGTTAGATGTAACTACAAATCAGTAATTCAAATTCCACTTAAGATGCTCTAACCTTGACTTTTTCTCCTGCCTGAATGTCCAGCCTCGACTTTGCTTAGCCCCGTTCCATGCTTTCCAAACAAGGGTCCATGATGAAGAGGTGGAGATACGCAGGGGGTCATATCTGAGGAAATTACACAATTACTCTAAAAATGAGGCCAGACTAATTATGCACATGACGTTGAGGAACAGACCCTGAGGCAATTGAATTTAAAAGGCATAATTTCAGTTAGGGGGAAAAAAGCTTTTGGCTTCTTTCCTGAGGCCACAAGAGGGCGCATGGAGCAAAATATTATGCACGTTTCTCCGCATCTCGTGCGCCACTGATAAGGCTGCCTGATGGCTGACGCAGACCTTAAATTCGAAAGCAACGTATTTGCATTCGAATGTGGATTTTTTTTATTTTTTTTTTATTCAACCAATATTCAAAATTCGAATTTTTTTTTTGACAGGCCTAAAGCACACATCACTAAACAAACATACAGTGGTGTCTTTGTGTCCAACAACGCACATACCTGTGCCATCAATAAGTCCACAGAGGGGAAGTAGTATTCTCGCCGAGAGCTGGTAGACACTTCACAATCTCTGGTGCCTGACCAGAACATGCCATCTTTCCTCATTAGACAAAGATCAGTCCTCTATAAGAGAAGATAGTAAAGTATTTAATCTCTCGAAATACTGTTATAACATGACCGTTAAACCTTAAAATAGCAATATTTGAAAACATGAAGGTACTGTGGTTTAAAGTTGACTCACCAGTGATTTGCTGCAGTGGGTGGGTTTCTGCTCTGCACTTGGCACCACTATAATGCTACACCACACTCTGGGTCCAAACTGCACCCCGCAGTGTGCCAGGCGCCAGTGAGACGTGTAGGTGCCCTCCAGCAAGGGCGCCACAAATGCCACGCTCACCACACCAACCTGACCAGGCAGCAGAAAGGGCACTGCGACTTCTTTTTGCTCCCGTGAGCCCAGGGTCAGGTTGCCCCACATAAACTTCAACTACGAAAGACACAACACACATGCAAACGCAGCCCACAACGTGTGGAGACACATTCTTTTCAACCTATAGTGAGTTTCAAAAAGTACCTTGGTATCTGAAGTCCAGCTGATGTTGCCAGTGTTCCTCATCTTCCAGTACTTGATGAACTTGGTGCCTGGCTCCAGACAAGTGCCATCTGGTAGATTCTCATCCAGAAACAAGGCAGTCATTGTGGGCACCAAGGTGGAGCAGGAGACCTTGGGACCCCTGGTTTGAGTGCACAGAGGATCGTCAGAACAGCTTTGTTTCAGTGTCTGTCTTTTCCTTGTAGCTCATATCAAAAAAAGTACAAAAAGGACGTAATACATAAAGGCAGCGGGTGCATTTTGAGGTAGTTCCATCCACTTGCCAGCGATAACTCAACTATAACAGACAATGTGATAATCTTGATAATGATTGTTCTGGACTGGGTAGGGAGGTCAACCCAGCCCTGACCCCTCTCAGTGTGGCCCTTACTCTGGACTGGATGTTTGAGGGTCTGGGCACAGGGCCGGAGTTGGGGCTGGACCTGGGCCTAGAGATGTGGCGGGAGCGGGGGCAAGACCCGAGCTGCCGGTCCCATTGGAGGCTCCACTCCACAGCAGACCTCTCTTCTCCAGCCTCAGCTTCTTCTTGATCTCCTTCACCTCGGCCTTAAGCTGCCTCCGCTCAGCTTTCAGCCGCTGTCTCTCCGCCTTTCGCACCGTCCTGTCACCCCGCCTCAGAAACCTGAGAACGAGCAGAAATTAATCAAATTAGCAAGTGTAATTATATCTCTTAACACCACTCAGGCTAAGTAGAAGATACTAGGGCTGGGAATCATTTCTCGATTCTGAGGCGCTGGGAATCGAGAATCAATTCCAAATCGATGGAATCGATTCCATCAGAGGGACCTGACTCCTCTTTAATAGCCTTTTTAAGTTCAGATTAGTTGAACATGTTCTTCACAAACAACAATGAGGAATCAATTCTAGAGTCCCAGGAACAGGAATCGGAGTCATTTCCTAAAATTTTGGATTTGAACAGCCCTAGAAGACACACAACATCGTGATTATTTTGGCTTGCCTGGGTTCTGGAGTAACTCCACGTTCAGGAACAGACAAAGGAGTCCATGTTCTCTTTAGGTTGTGGCTGGGATCGTGTTTATGACTACATGGCTCACATAAGATGCAAGATGGACAAACGCTGCACATAGAAGAAGGAAAATGTTTCATATTGAGCTTAACATTCGACATCATGTAATTCAGTTTTTTTTTTTCAAATAGTGTGTGCTTATTAATTATTTTTGAAGAGTATAATTTGTTAGTTTTAGGACATTCTCACCTGCACTGATATCCTCCTCCAGTGGCTGGTCCTTTACAACTACTGCAATTTGGAGTTGAACTAGAGGCCCTTAGCGTGGTGGAGCTCGTAGCTTTCTGAGTGCCAGAGGTGCTTGGCTCTTCTGCAGGAGGATCTAAGGCTGTGTGTGTGCAACACTGGCCAGAAAACTCACTACACATCCTGTCCACCACCTCCCTTACCACTTGATCTTTAAACTGCAATGATGATTGAGAACAATTTTGCAACAATTTGGACCAGATTCAATAGAAAGTAATGTTTATTATGAGATGCTAGTTTTCTCAGGTGCAATTTTATTGTTACATGCAAAAATCAAAGCAAAGATCTATGAAATTATAAGACTTTCTTTAGGATACAGTACCCTGTCCATGTAGGATTTAAACCACGTTGGTACTGCTTCCTCATCGGTTTTCATCCCTTTGTTTTCTTTGGCCACAGCCTGTTCAAGGAAAACAACTCAGTCTGAAATGATCTCAGCCTGTAATAAGTCCAGTCCATTATTATTCACAATGTCTTATTCAACAAGATATGCATGAACTAATAAGCAGCTCACACTATAAAGATGGCATATAGTATGTTTTATTAAAAGACTGCAAACTGCTTACCGAGTCCCGCTCGGGGGTCACCTGGGTCTCCTTGTCTGCCATCTTGACCCTTGCTCGATACGGCGGAGCTGGTCTGGGATCTATCTTTAGTTCTTTCAGCTCTGCCTTCACTGCACCACCCTCTGCCTGACCCTTCATCTTATAGACATTCATGTGTAGCTGGTTGGCCTGTTTAAATGCACTCTAAATGAAAAAATAAATCACGAAAACATTATGTTAAAAGCCAGGGGAATTTTTTTTTTTTTTTTGGAATTATAAATTGTGACTACATTGTGTTAAAAGCCTGGGGATTTTTTAAAATTATGATTATAATGATGGCATAACTTTTCACAGCATGGCTCAGATTTGGCTTGTGACTGAAAAAAAGATTGGTGTTCTTACCTTTAGAGCTTCTGTATACTCATCTGTGATGATAATAATAACATAAAATAATAAATAATATAGGCAATAATATTTTATATTCACTATGATATCAATATTTGAACACTACAGACTGAATGTATTACATACCTTGACAGTTTATGCACACCTGTAAAAATAAGAAGACAATATCAATAGAAGTACTTTTGAAAACAGATTTATAACAATAGTCAACCGACTTTTGTCAAACTCATACTTTAAAAAAATAGAATCCATCAATGTAAAACTATGAAATCACAGATATATTCAAAATGATATAAACTCGTTATTAAACTGTTATTATTTACCTCCTCGTTGTCCTCGTCAAAATATTTCACTTGAAAATGGATCAGGCCGAATGTAGTTTTAATCTACAAGTTATAAAAAGGCACTAAGTCAACTAACAATGTAAACAAACACCATCAGGAACTGCAGACTTTGTTAAAGACATCGAAGAGTTACAGGCCGATTAGAGTGAAAATCGCTATTCTCCAACGTTATTATTTATTTACAAGCTGTCATCTGATTTATGGCCGAACAGAAAGGTCAAGAGCAAATGACAGATACAGTTGCAATTGATATCACTGGGGTTTGTATAAAAGACCCAACTGTGATATATGTTAATACATATCTACTATAATAGGATTAAATATTTTGACTGAAGGTTAAACGTCTTATACGTTACCCCCCGGTTAAGGTTTGTTTATGTAGGCCTCGGCTACGGCCTTCCAGAACCAAGAAATGTAAACGTCCCCACATAAACGCCACCCAGCAAGGCTTAATGACTCCTTACCCAGGCCTCCACCGTCTCCCACTGTGCTTTGTTCGTGTCCAAGACTGGAAATTTCTTCACGTTGCCCCTAAAGTTCACTTTGACAGTGACGGGGAGGTTCATGGCTGTTAGCCAGGGTCAACTAATGCGCTTGATGCGGGGATGTGACGCTCTATAAATGCCCGTGGTGGTGTCAACACTGTCAGACTTGTCTTTTGCGTTCTTGTTTACATCGCTAGATTTGTACACGCCCCTAAAACACGTCAGAGGAAGTGTCTCGGATTTACTTTAGGTCCTAAATAAATAATAAAATTAAACATATTTGAGGGCTCGTGAAAGTATTTAACAGTTTCTTGTAAGTACTTATCTTGTGATTCCATCAAACAATATTTTTACAGAGAAAAATATGACGCACGCATGCACACTACGTCTTTCGAAGTCGTCCCGAACATAGATGTGTGAATATGTAGACACCGTTTTAGCACGGAAGCTATTCTGATTACAGCGAATCGTCAGTATGTACACTATATTGTATTGATTTGGTTTTGTCATGAATGTCAGATGATTCTGCATATTCCAGATGATATCAAATTCAAAATGAATGAAGAGTAAATATTTCCACACTGCAGAACAGATTTGAAGGCTATGTATTCCCATCTATGGTCTCGAAGTGTTTACGTCATCTAGAAGCGCGCAAGTGCCTTGTGGCTGACAGCAGTTTAGTGAGCCACACGGTTAGTTAATGCTTTTAGGACAATCCATTACTTTTATCCTTTATTGAATTGAGACGATGTCTTCGCTTCTTAAGGTGGACAATGAAATCAAAAAAAAGGTAAATGTCTCGCCGCTTCCCTTATTTTAATACAGAGCACTCCGATGAACCGTTTGTAAATGTTAGCTTGCGGCTAGCCGGCTTGCGCGTGTCACCTCGTGAGCGTGTTTGCTAACTTTTACTCACATATATGCTTGTGAAATCAGTTCTGTTTTAAGCAGAAAATACATATTGTAATAAAGTATGTGAGGATTATACATATCAAATCTTCAGGGTGAAGCCAGAGCTCCCACATGCGCGTTAACTGCGAGTGTGTGGATGGATGAAGCGTGTTTTTAGCACAGCAGCATGCCGCTGCGGGAGAACTGCATAGTGGTTTCACCACGATTTTAACATCATTAAGCTAAAAGTATATTAAAGTCGTTAGTTTATGTTGTCAAGCGATTACGGTGAAGATCGCGAGGAAGGCTAACAAGTCACGGGAGAGCGGGAAACGGCTCGATTTCATGGTAACGTTACATGTTGTAAACATTCAGCGTCTTAAAATAGAAGGGCCGCCGGTTGCGTTTTTTTTTCTGAAAGTGATTGACTTTCAAAGACACGACATTATAAACCGTTACAACAAAAATCAGATTGTGTATTACATGTCTTGTGGTTTATAGTTATATATGAATAATTCTTGTCTTGCCAGGTTGATGCTTTCAGGGAACGAATTACATCAGAGGTAAACTGCTGCATTTACCCAGAGTTTATATACATTTATATATATGAATGGTTTTGTGACTGTTGGACAGCTTATGGTTTAATTATTAAAATTTAGGCTGAAGACTTGGTTGCAAACTTTTTCCCGAAGAAACTGTTAGAGCTGGACCAGTTTTTGAAGGCAAGTTTAATAATGGAAAAATGATGCATTCTTGGCATTTACTTATTCAGATGAACACATTAATTTGTGTGATAGCCTTTTGATTACGTCTTGATTTTTTTTTTAAGGATCCCACAATTAATATCCGTGAGCTGAAAGAAATTCATTCAGAGATCAATCTGACGGTGCCAGACCCAATTCTACTTACAGACATCCATGATGGACTGGAGGGGGTAAGAAGCCATTTTTCTCTTAATAGGATAGGATTCTGTTGCTTTGTGCAAAAGATTGTCTGTTTGGCATGAAACAAAAAGATCAGCCAGTAACCTTGAAATATTTTCTCAACAGCAAAATGCTAAAAAGAGGAAACTCGAAGATGGTGCAGGAGATGACAAAGGTAAGTTTTCCTTCCTAATAAAAACAATATCTTGGATTTGGAAGGTGAATAAAATAAATTTGAGACCTATATTGATACCAAAACATTTTGCTCTCACTCTTCCCTACATTATCCTGTGGCCCTGTTTACACCTGGTATTAAGATGCGTTTTTGTCAATCCAATCAAAAGTGGACAACACTAAATACAGGTGTAAACGGGGTGTAAAACATTTTACTTTTGACCACTTTCAGAGGTAGCTGAAAACACATTAGATTGGATTGCTTTCATAGTGTTCTTGGACCAAACCACATGAATTATGATCTCATTCACTGGCTTTCCTGTTCACTCGTACATTCAGTAATACTCGTGCGTCACACTGAGTGCTCATGTGAAAGTGATGTTGAGTGTGACGAAATCTGAACACAAGTGGTCAAGAGATGCATTTGAATGCATGTTGATTACCAGGTGAAAACAGTAATGTATCTCGCCTGACCACTTATGATCGAATCACTGAAAATGCATGTTAGTACCAGGTAGAAATGGGGCCTATGATTTCTGTTTGTAGTTGGCGGTACCAAAGTCTTTGTCATGCCTGGTGGAATGATGAAAAGCAATGGCAAGCTGGTGGAGCTGATTGAAAAAGTCAAGCCTGAAATCAGAACTGTCATAGAAAAATGCAACACGGTAAGACCATGTAACCATAGTCTCAGACATGCTCTCACTCTTTAAAAGTGTGTTGGATAAATGTCATTTGCTTTGTTTTCTAGGTTAAGATGTGGGTTCAGTTGTTAATCCCAAGAATAGAAGATGGCAACAATTTTGGCGTCTCAATTCAGGTACGGTGCCACATTTTTCATTTCTTCATTTGGTACATTGAAGGTCTTGTAACAGCATAAGCTATATTTGTTGTAGGCAGACATAAAAGGACAAGCAGTGATTCTTCACAATTTACTGTATTTTTTTGTTGTTTAAAGAAAAATGATTCCTTATGTTTGGTGTTGTCAGGGAATTTCAAATGAGAAAAGACTTTGTCAGCCATTTAGCTGGAGTTATGATTCTGTTTATCTTCACCATCCACAGGAAGAGACGGTGACTGAACTCAGAACAGTGGAAGGGGAAGCAGCTTCTTTCTTAGATCAGATTTCCAGGTACGTGTCTAAAGGTGATGATACACGGGGCAACTTTGAGCAGTGTTGCTGGGCAGTGTCACCGAGCGATGTTGCTTGGGCACATTCCCATTGAGAATGGGCAACAAATTTTTAGATACATTTGTTGTATCATCATCTTAAGTCAATGTTAATCAGAGATTTGCACACTTTATTTTACCTTCATATTTTTTTACCTTCAAAAAAAATTTAAAAAAAAAACTTTTTTACAGGTACTACATCACAAGGGCAAAGCTGGTTTCCAAAATAGCAAAATACCCTCATGTTGTAAGTCATATCTAAAGTACACAGCATTTATATCAGGAATTCAGTAATTATTTTATACATGTATAATATATATTTTGACTGTTATAGGAGGATTATCGTCGCACGGTGACAGAGATTGATGAGAAAGAATACATCAGCCTCAAGATCATAGTGTCAGAACTGAGAAATCAATACGTAAGTATTGCTATAACAGTAATAATGCAAATTATCTTAAAGATTATCTTTATTTTGATGTACAGAAAGAAGTCAGATTACGGTACGTATGTGCTGTCTGGGAGTTGTTGTGATTGATTTAATAATATGTAATTGTACTGCAGGTAACATTACATGACATGATCCTGAAGAACATAGAGAAGATCAAGAGGCCGAGGAGCAGCAATACAGATGCTCTGTACTAAGATCCCCCTCCCCTTTCATTCTTGGCCTGTTGTTCCACCATTTGGAGCTAGCTTTAGCCTTCAGTTGGTTCTAGAGCAGTCCTGTTACCCATTATACCCAGGCCAAGAGAATGACACCTCAATCTGGCCTGATAGTACATGCCACTTAAGATAGAATTGTAAAATATGGTCACGATTTTAAACCCTTTAAAATGAGCCCTTTTTGATTTTTATTTTTTTGTTTCTTAGTGGACAGTATAAATGTATAAAGGCAGAACCTGAATAATGCGTCCCGAGGAAACTGACTCCGATTTGTTTTTCTTTAATTAAAGAAATGTTTCAACAGTGGATTTAATTTTGTATCTACATTTAGACATGATGAGCATGTCATCCATCCGCTGCCTGCTGAGGAGAGTAGGAACTAATTACCTTCCCCTCTTTAAGCACACCCACAGTGCTGAGAGCTTAATGTAGTCCTCTGCCCATGCAGATGAGCCGCTTTAATGATGCTATATGGAATCAAATCCATCTGGACAGTGAGCTGAATGCCGTTGCGGCATCAACGCCTCGGTAGCAGTACATCCAAGAACTTGAGCTCTTTGTCTGAGACGCATGCAGCTATGCAGATGGGGATTGTTGGAGGTGTAGATTGATGTTCTCATACGACAGTTCAGTAAACAAGAAGTTAATATTGAATAACTTACATTTTAGACCCAATATTGCCAGAAGGGTCCATTCACACAGAGCGCGTTTTGCATTTTAGTGCACAGCTTTTCCATCGTTTTACTATGCAGTAATGCACTAGACAGACATGTTTGACTGTTGCGCTCACATCATGCCTTTTCCATTGTCTTGTTCATGTCACAGTGTTCTAAAAATGTGGCACTCAAGTTGAACAAATCTTTGTTTTGAACAAATTGGTTGCATAAATGATTCAATGGTTTGTTCATGAAGATGGTCTGTGTCCAAAATCACCCTCTATATACCCTGATGCAATGCACTATTTGAAGTAACAGCCGTTTGTAGTGGTGTTCAAAAATAAAGTCGACATTATCATGTGCACTCATTCATTCCCATAATGCACCTTAGTAATGAGTGCACAATAAATGTACACTGAACAGCTAGCCACTATATTAGTAGAGTAAAATAAGGAATAATTAATGAGGGTAAAAGGGTGATTTTGCATGCAGCAAGTCACTTGTTTTATTCCTAAATGAATCAGTGATTTGAACAAATTAGTTGAGGAAATGATTCAATGAATCAATCATAAAGAAAGTCACTTGTTTTGTTCCAGAATGAATCAGTGGCTGCGTCCGAAATTGCATACTCTCATGAGTAGGTACTTATTTTGAATAAGTAATTACTTCATGACTGCTAAAAAAAGTATGTTCTATATAGTATGAATGTGTGTAGTATGAATGTAATCTGGACGTACTACATTCGCCATGTTGTCATTATCACGAGACCTACCAGTGTCAGTTGTGTCACTTCACTGCCATTCACAACTCCTCTCCCATGGCCTCATGGTATAGTAAAATGTCCATCGTATGCAAACTGGAGAATCTTACTGGAGGTAGCAGGTCATCCAGCCTACTCTCTTATGAGTATTGTGAATTCAGACATACTATATAGTAGGGAAGTATGCGATTTTGGATGCAGCCCTCGTTTCAGAACAAATTGATTGAGTAAATGATTCAATGACATACGAATATGGACCATTTATTGATTCATGTCACTTCATTGAGTGAGTCACTGAATCATTCAATCAACCGATTTCTTCAAAAACACTGATTTATTCAGGAACAGACAGTTGTGCGTCGCCACCTACTGGTGTAAGAAGTAACCTGCAGAAAAAGTCACTGAAAAATCCCTATACTAACACACAGACTGACAGTGTTTCTGGAACACAGACAAGCAGAATGTTAAAACAGTGAAAAGTACTTTTCCGAATTAACTGTATATTAGCAATCTTAGAATGGCAATCAGTGTCGAGGACTGGAACACACTGTTGTATAATACTCCTCGAAATCACAGGTGCGTCCATGGCTGATCAAGCCATTTTGAACATGCTGCACCTCCTCCCATCCAACACGCCTCCTCCGCCCCGCCTTCCACACCCCCACCCTCCCCAACATGGTGTAACTGTGGTTTCAAACAGAGTACACACACAGTACAAGAAAGAGAGTCAATACATTCCAGTGCAGTCCGTCCCATTTCAATGACTCATGTCCTTTTCATTCCTGCCTCATTTTTCCTGCCTCCCAGTATTAGCAATCTGCTTTTCGGCAATGCATCTGTCAGCTAGAGGCATTTGGGAGACCGTAGAAAGGGTTGTTATAGAGATTTGCCCGAAAGAACTGCATGGGACAGGGATAATGGGTGGCTTTTCAGGAAGCTTCTCTGTAACAGGACAGGGTCAGGTGCATCTCAGTTTGGTCTAGGTCTGGTGGGCAGCTGCTGTGAAAATGAAGTGCATCGCTGCGATGACGCTGACCTCCGCATGACCTTCTCCCGAGAAAGGCGGAGTTGGCACAGGGAGCTATAGGGAGTGTGCGTTGCCATGACAACACCTGCAGTGTGCCACTGATATCATTTATTTCTCACACAGGGGGGCAGCTGGCAATGGTATTCAGATGGGCCCATTGCTCTCCAGCGACCAGGGGACAGATTGACAGCTAATGATGCCTTAAAAAGGAGTGGCTTAACTTGAACAATATCATGACAGGATCAAAAGTGAATCTTGTCTATAATAACACCAGAATACCAATCAACCTTTTCTTCCTCTCCCCTCTATAAATTTCCCTCTAAGATGACAGACTTTGCATGCATGCCTCCTTCCTCAATCGTGTTTTAATCATTTCCCTTATTTGCAAACTCTCCCTCGGTGCCCGTGTGCAATAATTTTTTTCGGTTACGAGTAGAAACGCACACACACCGTGGAGGCAGTAGACATGGTAATAAGAATGAGACATGAGGCCTCTGTCCCTGGCCACCAGCTGACTGAGGTAGGCCTTGGGAGTGATGGAGCGCAGGAAGTCTCTCATTGCCCCGCCGCTGAACCCGGCACTCGGGTGCTACAACCCCCTCCTCCTCATTTCCTCTCCTGCTTCTCTTTCCTTAACTCGCATCGTAAAGCATCAGCTCCACACGCTCAGTGCTGCACAGGGACTCACTCATCCAGCCATCTTAAAAGACAAACACCAATACATCACGTTGTTTGCTAGTCCTAAGCAGCAGACACGGCAGGTGGCGAACAGGTATTGATCTGCTGCTCGAGCAAAGACAGCCATCGTTCAATTTATCTCAATCAGTGCATTTCATTTGCATGTCATTTTCATCGTAGCTAGCCATTAAGAACTCGTAATATCAATATTTGTTTGGCGTAGTCAAATAAACCAGAGCGGAAACACCACAGGCCTTATTTAATCCCAAATCCTGGGCGTTCGAAGGTGCGACATCTAGTAAAAATGTGGATGACCAAATAATCTGCCATTGTAAAAGTACACTTGGGGATTACTGATGGCACTTAAAATTAATAGGCATTTAAAGTGGATTGTGTATGCTGCTGAGAGCCTGTAATGATGGCTGTTTATGTGGCCTCTCATTTATAATAATTATGCAGAGTGTGAGGGGGGCGGCCGCTGTGTAGTTCTGGACTATTGGCTTAGTCTGAATAATGACCTACTGTAGTTGACCGGGAGATGACCGTTGCCTTCTGCATGACCCCAGAACCCCAGACTCACCCCCTGATGCCTCTGCTGGTAAATAGAAAGCTCAATATGTCTATACAGCGCCTCTATTGCCACAAAGAAGGCAGGTCCTTAGATGAGTGCGTGAGAATGAGTTAAATAAAAGAGTGTATATTTCCACTGGATTTTCCTTTTCTTTTATGGCACCTTTTCCTTTTCTTTAGGCATTTTGTAGGAGACAGACCCCCTGGGCGGGAGGCCAACTGGAGCAGTCATCTGTCTGAAGTTTACGAGGATGTGTCCCACAAGGGAGGAGATAACAGTCACAATCACCCAGTTTTGTCTGAGAGAACTGCACATTCATATGCAAATTCACATTTATGTCTACCTTTAAAAACCTGCACAGTGGAACATGAGAAAATTACACAAACATATGTTTATCAGATTAAATGGCAGTCTAAAACACAAACTATATATAAACTACACATAAATATAAATAATATATTTAAAATATATTTATAAATATAAATTTAATTTGAAATTTAAAATAAAAAAATATAAATATAATGAGCCAGATTTTTAACACAAACCATCAAGTATTTGTTTTAAAAACCACTAGCTTGAAAAACCTTCCAATCTTCAGCCAGAAGGTGGCAGTAGTGTCCACAGCCATACTGATGGAGCGTCTGGATGTTAAAAGTAGGTTGGACCTTGTCTAGACTGGCATCTAAGATTCCTGGTTTACAGCCCCTAATGGTGAGAGTGTAAAGCACATGCTGTAGAAAGGCCAAGACGAACTGAAAGAAAGGGATATCAGTGGGCTTGCATGTTAAAAGGGTCCTTGGAGAAGTTTGCCTCCATCTTTAGTGCAATAAATCTCTTTGCTTCTCATTCCAGGATTTTAAGGGGATTCCAGTGGGAATTCTGGCATGTGTTGGGTCTGACCTTTGGGAGTCATGTATTTTGAATCTAGGCGCATAAATTAAGAGTTTGGAATGCAAAAGGATGGTATGGTTAAAAAAAAAAAGAACAGTTCAGAAAAAAAAACTCTCTACGGGGCCCTTCAACTACACATTTAGAAAAAATAAACAAAGAAAACAAACTATAATGCAAAAAAAAAAAAAACAAGAGTTACAAAAATAAGACAAATTAAAGTACATGTAGATAGCGTACATGCAATGTGATTAGAGCAGGAAGAAAAACATCTCCAAATATCCTGCTGCCGTGATTCTTCAGCCTTGAGGATTGAGTAGGCTGTACCAAGCTGGCAGATGGATGTTAGCCTTCGCCGATATTTCATGTTCAAGTGTTCTGAACTAAGGAACCATGTGGCATGAGCAGGGAAACAATGGTGGCAAGGAGAGGCTGATCTGAAGGAAACAGTGAGCCATAATGCAACTATTATGGTTGCACACTAAATAAAATCTGAATGAATCATCAATGAAATGTAGCAACAAAAAATAAATTTGAGATTGTACTGAAATTCAGTGTTGGGCATGGCAGTGCAGTTCAGAACTTAAAGGGATAGTTTACCCTCATGTTTGTCCCAAACCAGAATGAGCACAAAAGAAGATATTTTGAAAGGACTCTTCTGTCCATGCAAAGATAGTAAATGGGACATTGTGACATTGGGTCATTGTGTGGACAAAAAAAAACTTTTCAAAAATAAATTGGTTCAGAATGACATGAGGGTGAAAATACCATGACCCCTTTAAATTTATTTTCCATGTTCCATCTGAGCATTACCAAAATACTCTAATAATAAATACTAATGAAGCAACTATTTTGTGCATGTGCTATCACACTCTAAAATGCTCCCACATATTATAGATACATGTAGTGATTTGTGGAGATGAGCCGAATAGCTGTTTATTCACTGTAAGTGGTGGATCAATAAAGACTGATGAGAGAGCTTTTTTTAATCTGTACGCTCTGCTTACACCAATGCTATGACAGCGCTGTCGACCTCTTTGATTTGTGACTTCACAGCGGTCAATCATAGCACTGCCTCAAAAACCTGTTGGTTAGCGGAACTGATTTAGCACTTTCCACGTCTTTATCACCTTGTAATTACGCTCGGTGTTGACACAAATATACTTGGCCTCCCCTCCACGCCTCTGTGCAGCAGAATTTATGCACTCAGGTTTTATGACCACTGCTTTATGAGTGGAACCGCTAGAGTTAGGCTTGAGTTCTAGCCATCGGCCTATATTTCATTCAGTAAGGTCAACGTTCCAGGGAAGCACCCGTAAAACAAGAGCTGCAGCCCCACATTGTCTGAGACGATTCTGAGGATGCATCCGAAGAGGTCTAAGAGATTTGAGCGATACAAGTGCAGCCATTTCGAAAATACTGCCATCAATAAAAGCTATTTCAATTACATGTCAGTCACAGAGGGATTAAAAGTAAGAGCTGATAAATCTACTTGTCTGAATATAATAACAGCATGATGACAAAATCAGAGTCATGCTCCAGCTATCTGAGATGGTTAGAATCATTGTTTACACAAATTAGAAATATGGCATGAGATAAAAATAAATGACCCATGCACATCCTTACCGTGTTTTGATAACCAACCACAGTGGATGTAATATATAATCACTGTTTTTTGAATAACTGAATCTGAATGTTATTTAATTCTGATTTTAGGCTTCATTAGCTGTCATATCTGTTCATTTCATTAGTGTTACTTGAATATCAAGAGTGCCTAAATTAATGGTAGAATTCTTTCTTTAACTTAAAAGGACTGATCACCCAAAAACTAAAATTCTGTCTACTGAGTTATTTACTCACCTTCAGGTTCCAAACCTGTATGAGTATATTTCTTCTGTTGAACACAAAAGCAGATATTTTGAGGAATGTCGGTAACCAAACATCTGCTGGTGGCCACTGACTGCCATAGTATGGAAAATAAATACTATGGAAGTCAATGGCTACCAGCAATTGTTTGGTTACCAACATTCTTCAAAATATTTTCTTTTGTGTTCAACAGAAGAAATAAATTCATACTGCAGAACACACACACACACACAAAACACTAAGATATAAATATCAAATTTTTGTGTGTGTTACAAAGAAGAAAAAAGGTCATACAGGTTTGGAACAACAATGCCAAGAGAGTTTTCATTTTGGACGAACTATCCCTTTAAGCTAACACTGAGCTCAGTTAAAGGCAAAATTAAAACACATTGATTCTTTCAGTGGTGTATCTTTTAGAAACAACTACACTATGTGTTCCTGCTAACATCCCATTTGTAGGACACAAAAATGTATGGATTAAAACGAATACTTCAAATAAAGTGGTTTGCTTGGCTGATCATTCAATTTTCCAAAACACAACTACAGCAATGAATCAACAGCATATTATTGAAAATGTGCCTCAGTACAGTATTGCAGTGGTCTACAGACCACAGATGTACAAGGAGTTTTCTATTATGTCAATATGACATGCTACAGGTTTAATTTGTTGCCTGCAATTCTCTTGGATATCTGTAAGAAAAGTCATTATAAATGCATCTGCTTTGTTAGAAAGCTGATGTGTTGCTGATGCTATTCATTTCTTAAATTGTGTGATTGACATAGAATAATCAACAGAAAAAAAGCAATAGAAATAGAAGCCACAAATCTTGATTCATAATGTTTTGGCTGAGGCCTTCTTTTTAAAATGCTGCAATAAGAATGTACTGACTGAGTGAAGACCATCCCAGCTTTGTCATTTAGAATACAGTAAATGAATAGCTGCTAAGAGAAAGTCAGTGAGTATTGACCGATATGACTCATCTTATGGCCAGCTGCGTATTATTCATCATTAGTGAGGAGATGGATAGAGCGAGATAAGAAAAAAGAAAACCAAAATACATGCAGAGCGCTTCAACTAACAAATCAGCCAAGGACACAGCCAACAGGGATGAACTAAAAGTGTGTGTGTATATGTGTGTGTGTGTGTGTGTGTGTGTTTTTATGAGAGATTGAGGGAACAAACACCGACCTTGCTGAGGATGTGGATGACATCTCCTCTCTGGAAGGCCAACTCATCGGGTCTATCAGCTTCACAGTCCCACAAACCTTGGTAATAATTTGCATAATCTGAAGACCCTTTATTTAAAACACAGAGATAAAAAAAAATATTTAGATTTTTTAGTCAATTTATAGAATTTCTCTATCCATGCACACAATCTACTTACCAGGCTTTTCACTCCACTCTTCAGCGTTGTCAGTATTTTCATCATCTGAAAAATACAGAGGGTCAAAGGTTACAGAACAAGTACTACTGCTAAGCTTTAAATATACATTCATCTTTTGGCACCAGTCTACTGCAGCTAATAATGCTACATATTCCTTGCAAATTCAACTTCTGGATCAACTTTGTGTACCTCTGAACTCTTTCATAAGTACATTAAACAATATCTGTGGTGCTGGCAGAACAGCCAGCTCCTGTTTGATTTATAGGGGAGGTGCCAGGCCGGGTTAGATGGCTAGTGTGTTTCAGGCAGACAGGCATTGATTCTGGGCGTGGCACCTCTAGGTCTATGAGGTGACAGTGATAGCCCAGCTTTCCGTCTCCCACATCCATCCTCACGCTGTCAGCCTGCCGATAAAACCACCGTCCAGCAACCCTATACTTCCCACAGCACAAGCTTGCCCTGAGCTTCCAGGAACAGCATGAGGAAAAAAACCTGTAAAGCTAAAGTAGCCTTTTACCATATGTGCAAGTGCAAAATATACATCTAAAACGTGAATGAAAAAAAAATGAGAGGTCAAAATGAGCAATTTCAAAGTGTAAACTGATATGCGCATTCTGAATCTCAAACATTTTCCAGTTAAAATCAAATTGTCAGATTAATTTCCGGGATAGTGCTGAAGCATTAATGAGGAATACAGATATATACACTACCATTCAAAAGTTTGTGGTCAAAATGTTTTTGAAGGAAGTCTCTTATGCTCACCAAGGCTGCATTCATTTGATCAAAAATACAGTAAAACTGTACTATTGTGAAATATTATTACAATTTATAATAACTGTTTTCTTTTTAAAAATATTATAAAATATAATTAATTCCTGTGATGGCAAAGCTAAATTTTCAGCAGCCATTACTTTAGTCTTTAGTGTCACATGATCCTTCAGAAATCATTCTAATATGCTGATTTGGTGGTCAGGAAATATTTCTTATTATTATTAACGTTAATATTTTTGTGGAAACCATGATATATTTTTTCAGGATTCTTTAAAGAAAAGAAAGTTTAAAAGCACAGCATTTATTTAAATTTTTTATGACCATATAAATGTCTTTACAGTCATTTTCAAATATTTTAATGCATCCTTGGTGAATAAAAGTATTAATATTTTTCTTTTAATCTTACTGACCACAAACGTATGAACGGTTGCATACACAATTACATATACATTATTTTTTTAATAGATTAGTTAATATATGAGCACACCATATTCAGCACTTTTTAGACAATGTCATAAAAGACCTGCTCAGCACTTTTCCAAACTGAAAATCTGAGAGGCATAAGAAAATGAGAGAGAGATGAATGAAGGGCGGAAAAGTGAGAGAGGTGGTCACTCGATCCGCCATATGTGGCCAGCTCAGCTGCCCAGCACACATGGCAAAGTAAGGTGAAAATGACAGCACTCCAGAGTGATGTATTTCTCCTCAGAGATCTCATTAGGTCCTCCGAGGATCTTGCTATCACTTTGGGTGACCAGAGCTTGATGTATTTGCTCTTATTGATGGTGTTCAACACTGTAGAGTTGATGGCTACAGCCTCAGTTACTTTGCTCCAACATCCCATCAAAAACTGATGTCAGTGTTTAAGATGTGTTATCAGGGTAAACAAATTCACAGTTATGTAAGTTTAGCTATCAGGATAATCCAATATTTAACTCTTTTTTTTCTGTACCTGGAAGCACTTCATAAATGTCCTCTTCATCCTCTTCTTCATCTTCCTGAGTCTCTGCTTGGTCCTTCCATTCCTTGTGGCTGCTTTGGGGGGTTTGCCCCAGACTCAGGGTTGTAACTGGAGCAGATGCTGGCCCAGGACGTGGTGGTGGTGGTGTGGTAGCTCGTTCAATGTCATCATATGTCTCTTCCTCTTCTTCCACCTCCTCTTCCTCATCATCGTCAAAGGGGATGAAGTTAGAGCTCAGATCTTGGAGAGAAGCCATAAAACAAACATTAACACCTAAATAAAGAAAATGACAGCACACAAATTATATACATTCCTTGTGCATGCAAACATACTTGGCAGTAAATCTCAATCTGATTATGTTAACCAATCTACATGTTGTGGTGTCCCAAAAGTCTGTGACCACTAGTGAAAATGCTTCTATTGTAATAAAAAATTCAGTAAAAACAGTAATATTGTGAAATAGTATTACAAGTTAAAATAACTGTTTTCAATTTAATTTATTTTTAAATGTAATTTATTCCTATGATGGCAACGCTGAATTTTCCTCTAGTGTCACATGTCACTCTCCAGATATTGGAGAGAAGCCATAAAAACAAACATTAACACCTAAATAATGAAAACGACAGCAGACAAATAACCGATCTACACTTGGTGGGTTCCCAAAAGTCTGAGACCACTAGTGACTTTTTGCAATTTTCTAATTTAATGCTCTTTATTACAAATGACATTACCAGCATAATTTAATTTGAGTGAAAAGCTGAATTAATAACATGATTTTCATAGCCTTTTCTTCCTGGTTTGTCACAATTTTGCTTTAATGACAGCAAGAATCCAGCTGCATTAACTCTACACATTTGCACTAATGATCATGTGATCCAGCATGATTTGAGAATACTCAATGTCACAAATTTGCTTTGTCAATAAGTGGTACATAAACAGTTAAAGGGGCCATATGATGCGATTTCAAGTTTCAGCATGTCAACATATTCTGTTACACCAAATACACAAAATAATGATCTTTAAAAAAGCATCATATGACCCCTTTAAGAAAATCAAATATTTAAATAATTAAACTTTTTTTAAAATCCAAAATCATTAAAATATTGTTTGTTTCAGTGTGTTCCAACATTTTGGGTCCTCAGTGTAGCTTTGTAGAATTTATTTTAAAAAATTATATCAGAAATGTAACTGTGCAGAAATCTGGAGAAAAAGAAAGAAGTGTTAAATTTGACATTTATTACAGCGCTAATACTAAATGACCTAAGCGAGATCCCAATTTCGTCGGTCATCCGACGTGACGTCTCCGTTCCCTCCTTCAGGGAACGAGGGTTACCATACGTAACCGAGACGTTCTTCATTGTAATAACAGCAAGATGACTGAACACAGCTACAGGAATGAGCAATGTGAGTGTGTTTGTGTGTGTTGAACCTGGTAAGAACGTCTTCCAGGAGCACTCATCTCAAAGCATGAATTCTTCTTGGAGTCCTTGCGTAAGCTGGGCACCAGCTCTGCACTGTAGCCATTGATATAAAATGAGCCCTTCTGCTGCTTGTCTGAAAAGACAAAATCCAAGTTTCTCAATTTCTCTGTCTTTGAAGTTCATAAAAAGACTTGTATACCTCCTTAAACGGGGCATGAACGGGGCACCTTTCTCACTCCCGAAGTAATAAAATATGGTGTTGTTCAGAACACACCATCGCTTTTGCCATTCCATGCTGAAGAAACTGTGATCTGAAAAAAGAAAAAGATTAGAAATGCTTGTGGATTTTATGTGGCTTTTGATGCTGATTTCAAAGATTCCTACCACGTCTTTTCTTCTCCAGGTAGCCTTGCTTTAGAATGTTACTCAGGTCCTGTGCAGCCACCAGAGGGATCTCTTCAAAAACTGTTAATCAGAAATCAAGGGAAATAATGTTGTGAAATAATGTGGTAATGTGACACATAATAAATATAAAATGAGTAACACATTTACTCTAACATGGAATAGAACACTTATGCTTATTGTTTATACAATTAAAATAATTTATAAATAAAAACACACTACTGTTCAAAATTTTGTGTTCAGCAAGAGTGTTTCTACTTTCGACAGACTTATTTCGACTTATGCTCACCAAGGCTGAATTCATTTGAAAAATATAGTACAAACAGTACTTTTGTGACATATTGTTACAGTTATAAATAACTGTTTTCTATTTTAATATATTTGAGAATGTAATTTATTCCTGTGATGTCAAAGCTGAATTTTCAGTGGCCGTTTCTGCAGTCTTCAGTGTCACATGATCCTTCAGAAATAATTCTAATATGCAGATTTGGTGCTTTAGAAAGTTTAAAAGAACTGCATTTATTAGAAATAGATTTTTTTTAAACAATTTAAGTATTTACTGTCACGTCTGGTGAATTTAATGTATCCTTGCTGAATTAGAGAATTAATTTCTTTAAAAATAAAATCTTACTGACCCCAAAATTTTGAATGGCAGTGTGTATACACACACACACACATAATTATATATATATATATATATATATATTTAGGTGTAGGTGATGTACAAATGTGTACCCTTGAGCTTTTGCACCCCTAAAATTACATTTTAATAAATTAAAAATGTAAGGTGGTATAACCTCTAGGTTTAGGGAAGAGGGGGCCCACCCATAAAAAATTGTCCCAGGCCCCTGATGGCACTGCTAATATGATGACAACTGTAATAAGAATATATCAAAATATGGTGCAGGGCTTGCTGCATTTTAATCTGCACCCACACGCCTATTTTTAGCATGTTTTCTAGGGCATATGAGAGTGGCAGCGCAGGCGAACAATTTGCTGCAAACAGGGAAGCGAGACACAAATCCTCACCCTCGCGATCCAGCTTTCATCAACTTCAAACCTCAAGAGCTAAAAGAGAGCGTAGGCGACAGGTGGGCCTCTGGGCACGCTACCAGACTTATTTAAAACTCATTTAGACACGAGCAGATGCTTCCTTCCCTGCACGCTGATGTTGATCTCTGTGGTATCTCTTCTCTTTGAGCTAAGGCTGCAATTCGATGCATAAAACAGACAGTGTTATGCAGTCAACTGTGCAGTCGTCTTAAGAGGGCTGTCTTGAACTTGTCATTGGAAAAAAATGTCAAAAGAACAACAGTAAATGCAACTGTGATGTGAGCGGTGGATATAACAGCTTGGAGAGTCTAATACCTCTATAAATAAGACTCAGCTCATCCAACACACCCAGTCTGCTTGACATCACCAACAAGCTCTGTAGCCTGCCATGTTATGAGTCTAGTTTATCAGACAGATGACCATCTCGCAGAGGAGCCCTTTTGATCCTCACTCACATTCACGAACACACATGAGCCTTTTCCGTACACACGGTCACATCTACGTCGTCATAAATACAACTGAACTACACACTGTTTGTCAAGGGTAAGTTGATGTATCATCGAAAAAACCGGAGGCCTCGGTCCAGCCACTTCTCTGTTCATTTTTCTCTTTGTGCGCTTTCGTCCCGACACCTTTTACTCCCCTCATCCATCCACATCCACCTCTGTTCATTTATCTAAAAGGTCAAGCCCCAGTAATAGTTCAGAAGAAACAGAATAAACAGAAGAAATGTGAGAATGGCGTACAATTAACCGTTTCTCTAATCTTCACACACCTACTGACAGCCTTCTTCCTCAGGCCTTGCTGTCTGACCCCATGGTGCAGTCAGAGACTTAAGCAATGGCAAAATGAATGGTGAATTTGTGTTCAGTCATTCTTCACAACCTACGACCTGCCTTTCTGAGGAAACCAAACAGTGGGCGTTTCTGGCTAGTCACTATATTCGTGATTCTTCCACAGGGTAGCAGTGTAACCAAACATTTCACCTACAGAAAAAATGGCATGTTTTTCTATTCTGAACTGTCTCCAAGGAAACCCAAGATTCTGATTGGCCGAACAGACGCAACATTTAACTTCAGCCATTTCCTTCAAACCAATCAGAGCTTGATATATTTAAAGCCACAGAGAACAGAAAGCTGCCAAAAAAGAGCCCGAATTATATTATATTTCTGCCTGTTTCTTACATTGTCAGTTCTCTTAGATTCTACATGTTTTTAAAAACATGCACATTTGAAACCATCATAAACAAAATCATTTACCTCTGTATAATTATTAAAGTGACATAAAAAATGCACGTATAGCACCGGTCTTGAGAATTTTCATTTCGCCTATAAATTGCATTTTTAATTATTCAGAGCAGTGAGGTTTCTTAATTCTCACCCCTTGCATTCTCCCTCCTTAATTAGCATAAAGCCAATCATTTCCTTTTAAACGTGCAGCGGATGTTTATGAATATTTCAGAGTGTTACATCACCATCATTCTCAGAGGCTTTGTGCTGTTAGGCCTTTTCCAATTTCATTTATTTTGTTTTCTCATGTTGTTCGTTACTGACATCAATTATTATGAAGTATTCAAAGGAAAAAAAATGGAGCATCAAAATGTATCAAAAAGAAAAGCATACATTAGAGTACTTATATATTTAGTTTTCGCTAAGCAGACGTCCAATTCCAAGCTTGATTTTGTCAGTAACTCATGACAAGAGGCACACAAAAACGAGGAGATGTGGGGAGAGGAGAAAGGGAGCGACACAAAGCTAATGACTTTCCTCCAGGCGCTCTCCGCGGCTGCTAGATGCTTTGTGGTGATGCATGGCACGGCCTCTGCGATGTGGCAGGGCGAGATTGGTGGAGTGAGGCATTGAGCGTGCCACGCAGAGGGACGTTCATCAGTGCCACAGCAGCAGGAAAACGGGGACTGATGCCACGAGTGGAGCTCGGCGGGATACAGGAGAACCAAGACATGGCGGGCCCAGCCTCCCTCCCCCTCCTTCTGCAACATGGAGGTAGGCACAGCTCCAGGTCACACTACTCCTATCACTCTGCAGCACACTGCCTGCCACCACCAATGGGCTGCTGCGTTTACTCCGAGAGCTGCAAGTCTCAAATGAGTGGCGAACAAACAACCTCATATACTATTTAATTAATTACTGTTCGTCATAAGCTCATATCAGGTATTCATATCGGATAATAAAGCTGGGCTCTGTGCGCATTTAATATCCTCACCAACATACATAATACTGTGCTCACAGGTGATGTTATGAGCACAGCAGGTGATCCAGCTATAAAAATCGGATTGATGCTGTAATGATCCGGGGAAGTTAATGTAAAACACCATTAAATAGCATCACAGTTGAGTGGCTATGAGTCAGTGACAGGGAACAGTCAGCAGTGACAGATGCAAAGGTCCATCAATGACATAAATGAGGCAAAACATATTTTTTTATACATTTAAGTTTGTTTTCTTTAATTTTTTTTAAATGACAAATGTCAGATAACTAAAAAGGTTCCATTAAATATAGTGTTTTTGCAAGTTATTTTGCAAGTCTCTCTCTTCTCTGTATATCTGTTTAAGACATTGTAATTATCCAAATACGCATCATAGATCAAATTATCAAATATCTAGGGAAGATTGCATGACTGCATTACAGGTGTACCTTGACATTACCGAATGAGACCATGCGACACAATGCAATGATTTACTGTAGATTCACAAAAGTCAAGACCACTAACATATTTACACTATTGGCTAAATGAGTCCATGAAAAATTACTAACCGATCATGTGATCACATTTGAATACTGAAGCATTCTATTATAACCACATTTTACAAATAGGGATAAACTGAATTCTCAATACAGATAAGCCGATAATTATTTTCATGTTATGGCTGATATCCGTCAGCTGGCTGATTTTAAAATTGCATACTAATTTGTTTAAATAAATTTTAAAAACACTACAAATGTTTAATCATTTTAATGCTACAACTGAATTTTGTCATTAAAACAATGTACAGTATGAAAATGAATATTAATTTTGACAGTATTTAAGAGTTTTAAGTTATTAGCATGTTATGTGTTATATTAGCATAAGAGTTAAGTTATTAGCATGTATATTAAACATATACACACACAATATTGATAAATTTAAAAAAAATCAATATTAAGCAATAAGCAAAAAAAACATGAAGATGCCTGCATATACAGTATATAAACAGTGCAAGAAATCTGCATCAGATCGATGCCCTATCCATGTCTTCCAGTTACGCGCCGTGTGCATGGGATGCACGGGCCTGCGGCTGACCTCGGCATGAACCTCAGAGATGAGGTGAAACAGAAGGCACGAGGGTCCCTTTGGGGCTGAGGGGAGAGGCAGGGGAGGAATGCTGATCAGGGAGAGATGGAGAGACCGGAATTACTGCGCTCTCCTATACAGCACTTGATTAGAAAAAAGGAGCACTCCGAGCATCCTTAACCCCTCTATACCACACACCAATACACAAACTGCACACAGAGAACAACAAATTGACACATTTTTCCTCATTAAAAGCAAAGGCAGTGGCTTCTGTGTGATGCCTGCGCATAGCAAACATTAGGAGGGTGAGAAAAAAAGAAGGAAAGGCATTAGGGAGAGGGAGCGAAAGACTGAGAGAGAGAGATCCCTAGGTGAATGGCTCAATTGAACATCACCTCTCTAAATTGTCCTTAACAAGATCTGATTCGATTTGAATGAAAATGATCTGTTATTCACAACATGAGACCTGAAATCATGCAGCCCCTGAACAGTTTTGCAGTATTACTTATTATTTACAAGATTCCAGGATGGACCTTTAGCCAGCCTCTGTTTAAAGGCGCAATTGTGGGCTTCACACATGATGTGGGAAACCATTTAGCATGCTTTAGTGCCACAACATTGTTCCTTTACTGACGAGCTGCACCGTACAAGAGGAAAATTTATAGTCTGGCAATGAGCAGGGAAAGCAAAGGGGGTCCTCCGTTGAGAGACCAGAGCTC